TGGAAACGGTTCTTTTGAAAATCAAACAAGATATTCAGTTGGCTCTTCTCCATATTCTGTAGCTATTGGAGATGTCAACAATGACACTCGACTAGATATCGTTGTCGCCAATTCGGGTAGCAATGATGTGAGTGTTCTTCTTGGATATGGAAACGGTTCTTTTGAAAATCAAACAAGGTATTCAGCTGGCTCTAATCCACAATCTGTATCTATTGGTGATATTAACAACGACACTCGACTAGATATCGTTGTTGCCAATGGGAATAGTTATGATGTAAGTGTCCTTGTTGGCTATGACAGTATAGTTTTTGTAAAGAAAATGATACTAGTAACTGGAAACGATTCCCAACCACAGTGGTTAGTGATTAGCGATTTTAACAATGATGATCTAATGGATATTGGCGTCATTAATTCATGCACCCACAATATTGATATTTTTCTTGGATATGGAAATATCTCTTTTGCAAATCAAATGACATATTCAACACATCCATATTTATCTCCATGCTCTATGGCTGTCGGTGATTTCAACAATGATACTCGAGTGGATATCGTCTTTGTTAGTTGTAAGTCGAACAGTGTTGGTATTATTCTTGGATATGGAAATGGTTCTTTTGGAGATCAAATGATGTATTCAACAAGCTCAAGTTCGTCTCGATACTCTTTAGCTGTAAATGACATTAATAACGATTCTATGCAAGACATTGTCGTCGCGAATTATGATGCCAATTATCTAGGTGTACTTCTTGGACAGGGCGACGGCACTTTCGAAAGCATTATGGTAGTTCAGTTGGACTATGGTTCCAATCCATTCTTCATTGCCATTGGAGATTTCAATAATGATAAAAAACTAGATTTTGCCGTCGCCAATAATGGTACTGGCAGTTTAAATATTCTCTTGCAGACTTGTTAATAATTTTATCTTGTACTTTATATTTTTCTATCACTTACTTATTTCCTATGCTCTTATATTTAATAAAATCATAGTTGAAATATTCAAATGTTTGTAAGTGTGAAAGATGAGTGGAGAAAGAGGATGAGTTAGGTTTGGGTTTGGTTGTGGATTCCTGATGATGTAAGCCTTAGTGTATGGTTGAGAGTATGAATGATTGTCTGCCAGTATTGGTCTGACTATAGTAGAAAAGCATCTAGATCCATACTCGCATACCACAAAAACGTTTTTTTTTGTATCAATGACAAGTGTCATGATGAAACCTATCGCAACGATGAAATTGATTATTACGTCGAATATTCAAGTTTATCGAGCTTATTGAGAACCATTATCTCGTGGAATGCAATCGTATTGTATGTACTTAGAGATCAACTCTTGCTTTATGGTAAACTAGTTTGGTGTAACTCTATGAATATCATCAAATCACTATCATTTATTACAGTCCTTGCTTGCTAATGATGATTATCGATACCATAATGTCAATATGTGCAAAGAAACGATAGTTTCTTGAGCATGGGGGAATCAAAAGTTCAACCTGCAGTTGTCTTCATTAAAGGATGTAGGTGTGGATGCCGGATGCTGGATGAGATTCTTCACCACACCCGCTAACCCACGCACAATTGAACATCAATCACTTTCAATGATGATCACATTGTTCTTTTGAATAATACAGATAAACTACCCTACTGACGGTGTGGGTGTGAGCACTGGGTTGAGAATAATACACCCATACTCAATTCGTCTCGATCAACTCTCTTACCCACAATACCTATTCGTCCAACGAGGTCATTCAGTGTAAATATCTGACTGTGGAAATCATTATGTAATGAAATGGATGGAAGGTGCAAAAAAAGGCATTGTCATGACTGATAGTCAAGGAGAAGGAAATAGTCTTACACAATTGTCATATTCAAAAGGAGTCGTTGTCGATCATTTGAACACCGTCTATGTGGCTGATACAAGGAATGATCAAAGCATAGATTGACCCAAAGGAGCGACACAGGGAAGTGTCATTGTTGGTAGAAACGGTAGAGTAGGACAATTCAACCAACTCAATGAGCCCATCGATTTGCCATTCGATTAACACGACAATCTCTATGTCATCGATTGGGGAAATCATTGGGTATAAAAATTCAATATAGAATCCAAGAAGTGAAGGACTAGAAAGCCAAAGAAAACCGTTTTTTTGTGTGGTATACGCTCCAGACAATATACAAATGGATGCCCTGTCGAAATTCTAGGAATCCTTGAAAAATTATAATAAAATGTACTCTACTAATAACGAACAAAATATCTAACCAAATTCAGTGAAGACCCAACGCCATTTGTATGCAATGAATCCGAAATCTTAGAAACCTTGAAAAATTTCAATATATCCTGTTCATTAAAAATGAATCAAAGTCATTACGAAAGTTTGTATTCAGATGTTCCTGATACTGTCCAACGCTCAAAAAACTATAGGTTCTCTGGAAATCCTCGTTTCTTACATTGGTAGCGCCACTTTGGAATTGCATGAGAAACCTTCGAACCCTTGAACACGATCACTCTGGAAACAGTTTCCACCATTGAAAACATCAAGGAATCCTTAAATTCCTTGAAGATTCTAGCACAATCCACTTACAACACCAACAAAATATCTGACTAAACCCAGTATGATCCTACACTATTTGTACGCAAGGTTTTTGAAACCTTGGAAACCTTGAAAAATTTCGATATATACTATTCATTATAAAGCAATCACAGTGATTAAGAAATTTGTTTTTTTCAGGTTTCTGATGATTTCTGCAACACGCCAATGTCTGCGAAACCAATGGTTCTCTAAAAATCCTTAGTTTTTTTATTAAGTTTAACCGAACAAAATGCGATGAAATCTTTCAGATCCTCGGATTTCTTCACTTTACCACCAATCCTGTTCGGTTAAAGTGCCAAGGAATCCTTGGATCCTGGTATTTCTTTGGTTTCCTATAACTCTTGACTGTTCAGAGCGCTAGGTAATCCTTGAAATCATTGGGTTCCTTAGCTTTCCCACCATTCCTCACTATCCTAAATGTTATGGCATCCTTGGAATCCTTCGGTTGGTTAGCTTTGCCACAACTTCTGACTTCAGAAAGTTTTCGGGATTCCTTAGATTTCTTAGCTTTCCCACCGTTCTTTACTGTCCCAAGTGCTATGGTATTGTTGGAATCCTTGGATTCCTTAACTTTTTCAACATTTCTGACTGTTGCAAGAGATAGGGAATCCTTCGAATCATTGGATTTCTTCTTTTCTCCAACATATAGACTGTTGAAAGTGTTCGGAAATCCTTGGAAACTTGGATTCCTTAGCTTTCCGACCATGTTCGATGGTTCCAAGAATGTGAAATGCTAGGAATTATTGGATTACGGAGTTGTCTGACCATTCGTGACTGTCCCAAGTGCTATGAAATCTTTGAATTCCTCGAGTTGCTTATGTCTCCGACCATTCTCGAGTCTCGCAAGTGGTATGAAATCCTTGGATTCCTTGGAGTCTTTAGCTTCCCAGCATCTTTACTAGCCACAGATGGTAGAGAATAATTGTGATCGTTTGTTCCCTAACCTCTCGATCACCCTTAAGTGTCTCAAGTAGTATGAAATTGTTGAATTTCTTAGGTTTCCTAACAATTCTGAGTATTCAAAGCGCTAAGAAATCCTTAAAAACGTTGTATCCATTAGCTTCATTTGGATTCTGAAGTATCAGAAGTGCTATGGAACCATTGAATGGCTTCGATTCCTTAGCTTTCAGTTCATTGTGGACTACCACAAGTTGCAGGGAATTTTTGGTATTCTTGGATTTCTTTGCGTTCCGACCTGTCTTGACTATCCAAAGTGTGGCGCAATCCTCGGATGTTTTAACTTTCAGACTATACTTGACTCCCTTATGTAGCGCTGAATCATTGAATTTCTTCACTTCATCATCATTCTTGAGTGTTCCAAGGACAATTGAATCCTTAGAATCGCTGGAAACCTTTGATTTCTTCTCCTGCCCATCATTCTCAACCGTTGCAGATGCTATGGAATCCTCATAGTCGTTGGATTCTTTCTCTTTCAGACCATGGTCGACTTGCACAAGTAGCAGGAAATCCTTGGAATCCTTGGGTTCTTTAGTTTCATGACCATTTGTAAGTATCGCAAGTGCAGTAGAATCCTTGGATTTCTTAGCTTTCCGGCCATTCTTAGCTGTCCCAAGAGCCATGGACTCCCTGGATTGCTTGGATTTCTGGGAATGCTTCACTGGCGTAAGTTGCAAGAAATCCTTGTAATCCATGGATTCCTTAGCTTTCCGACCATTATCAAGTGTTCACAGTGCAATGTAATCCTAGAATTGCTTGGAATTCTTTGATTTCGTATGTCTTCAACCGTTCTTGACTGTCGTAAGTGCTGACAGAGATGAAATCGCTATCAGTATTGTTCGTCAAAAATTCAGATCGGTTCCATCTTTGAGTGCTGGATAGTCAGTGGAATCTTTGCCATTCCTTGATCTCATCGCTTAGATGGTATTTTTGACTTACAAAAATTCCATGGAAGGGCTTGAATTTTTCGATGCCTCAACTTTTTCGGCACCGTGCTGAGTGAAATATCCAACGGAATGCTTCGTGTTCTTGGACTTCATAGCTTGCATATAATGCTTGGTGTTTCCTTATGAATAGGGAATCTTGAATTTCTTGCATTTTTTATTGCTCCAATGATCTTGCACTGTCTCGGATGGATTCTATACCTTTAAATTAGTGAATTTCATAGATTTCTCTGGGTGGTTAGTGGTCTAAATGAATAGGAATGCTTGGAGTCTTGTGAGTGCTTAGTTTCCTCATTATGCTCGAGATTCCTAAAGGACGGATTGGTTTGGAATTATTAGATTTGTCAGTTTTGCGAGAAGCCTTACATAATTTAATAGTGTGGAGTGCTTGGACTGCTTTTCTTTCTTGCTTGTCTGATCATCGATGCCCATCATTAATGAGTTCTAATCTTCGAAGTTCTCTGTTTTGAACCCTTGTAGGGCCTTCACATAAGTGACTTGGCTGGAATCGTGGGATTTCTTCTAGTTGTTAGATCCTTGATTATTTCTTTCATGATTGAATTGCCTGAATTGAATTGTGTTCTTGGATTAGCTCGTGTAATCATTGTTGTTGGCAGCCTCTAGTTGGTTGGGTTGATCGTTATCGATGGATTTTGTGATTTCAGAGAAGAGTTGATGGTATGGTTGTTGATGTATAATATGTGTTTGAATGGGAATGTAGGCGAAGGTGTGTATGTTGGTGTGGTTTGATATGCATCTCGAGTTCGATGATTATCGTTTCCCTTAGCGTTTTGATATGAGCGGATTTACGTGCTTGTTAATGTATCTAATGATATGAATGAGTAGTAT